ACCCACAAGATCCCTGACCTTGACACAATATGGTACCCACAAGATCCCTGACCTTGACACAATATGGTACCCACAAGATCCCTGATCTTGACACAGTGTAACAGCCAAAAATGCAGAAACAAAAAAGAATATTAAAAACAGTTGGACTGAAGAAAATAAAAAGTTGAACTAATAATGTTTTAGATGAACTGTTTAACTAGAACAGTCAAAGGCAATCTGCGTTAATGAGAATGTTACACATCAATGACATTTAACACAGACTGAATCCCGATCACTGTCCTGCAGGGTAGAGGATTTAGGAGCAGATAAAAATAAAACCCTAAAGCATCATTTCATCAGGTTAGCTGGACTTTTAATTCAATAATGTTTGGGCTACAATTAAGCTGAGAGCTAATGCCTCGATTGCATCATATCAATATAAAAAGTGATCAGTCTGAGTGAAATGGTCCCCATTTCTGAGCTATGTCCTCAAATACAGCCCTAAATATAAAGATCCCATATCATGCAACATTATAAATATTTTGCAACAGTCATATGTGTCCTGAAGCCTGTGTATGAGATTCCAAATTAAAAACACTCCTTTCACCTTTATCACTGCCTTTCTCTAAGCCAATGTGTGCTCAAAATGCTCTGTGTGAAAAGCATTCCTCTTATGATGTCATAAGGGGAAATAAGCAGTCCAGAGCGGTCTGTAGCAGCCCATCGGTCGAGCTCCAGCCTTCATCTTATGTTTTATTCCCTGCTCCTATACTATCTTTATGAAGTCTGACTGTTTGTCATGGTTGCGGGTTGTGGGGGCGCACCTGAGAGGAACTTTTCAGCACAAACAGCAAAAACATGCTTAGGTTGTTAAATGTTGCAGAATTCTACTTAAATGAAACGTTTTGCATTTCTGTTTCAGTCCTACAGACTATTTTTCTCTCCATGATCAATGTCCCATTTCTCATCCATAAAAAATGTATATATATTTTTTTGGGGTTTTTTTGTACCTCTGCCAAGAAGGTTATGTTTTAGGACAGGTTGTCTGAAAAGTTATGGATCAATTTTGTTGAAACTTTTATCAGAGGTTGGTGATGCTCAAGATCCAGATTATAATCTGGATACAGGAATTTCTTTAAAAGATTCTCTAAAATTGTGAGACAGAGATATATTTTGGAACAAGTGGTTCTCCACTAAACCAGAGGATGGCAGTACTGACTATTGACAGCCTCAGAATCGGACTCAAAATGTGCAGAGGTATTTTACTGATGACAAAAACAAAGCCTTTATTTTGACAATATTTTGTTTAAGTTTTTCTCCGCTCTGAATTGAATTTGGTCTTCGATGAAAGGGCACTACACTGTTTCCCAACAGGCGATTTGCTGTTGAGTGGAGCCTTTTCTAGGATACAGACCAATTCTGAAAGCTAGCTTACGATGGAGTATGTTTGCCCTTCAGAGCACGTTACCATGGTGATTAGCCTAGATAAGAATGAATCCAGCATTGTGGTACCAGAAAAGAAAGGGTTGAACCTAAAGTTGTCTTGCTAACCCAGTAATCCTGCTTGCAGGTACAGGCTTCAAGTGCATTTATCATCTCTTTAGCAATTTTCACAATGTCAATATTACAAAGGTCCCTAAAGATGCATTATTTGGAATATTATCCATCCATCCATCCATCCATTTTCTTACACGCTTGTGCAGAGTGGGGTCGCGAGGGGTGCTGGTGCCTATCTCCAGCAGTCAATGGGCGAGAGGTGGGGTACACCCTGGACAGGTCGCCAGTCCATCGCAGGTTGGAATATTATATGATGTTCAATTCATTTCTATTTTTCCCTCTAAAAAAACGTGTCCAGTTAGATGTATTCTGTTTGAGACGTTCATTTATTATACACGATAATGACTGATATACTAAAGCTAAAAGAGACCGATAGGAGTAACATGATAATGCGAAATATAAACTCAGAAAATAGTGGGAAATATTCAACAACAACAAATCCAGTTTTGTCTAGTATTCTGCAACTCAAAACCACAGGTCAAATCTATCTAATGTTCACATGTTATGAAGAAGCAGTTTTGGGGCATAAATCCTGTGGAATAAATTACCTTGGTCATGTACAATCTGCAACGCAGTCATTAGTATTCAGGCTGCCTCTCTGTTGATGCAGCATCACAGGCCCAAATAACAACAGCAGAAGCAGCAGTTTACACTGCTGTAGTCATTTGGACATTTATTATTAGTGATCATTCTAAACGAGTTTTTAACACAAAGCTGTAGGACACAGGAACGTGATTAAACTTGCTGTAGTATTTGTTTAGTAAATCCAGTCCCCAAACAAAGAAAGTTTAGCAAATAGGCTAAACAACTAAGAGATAAAAATGCAATACTTAAAATCTGATGACTCTCACATGACACCATATCAGAGATCCCTGCCCCAAAGATGAGGACCACCACCACCCAGACCCACTCTGCAGATAATGCAGCCGAGAACTTTAATCCTTCTGCATCAGATCCATCTTCACAATTACTTCTCTTTATTTAGAGTTATTTCCAAGACTGAATTCTCCTCCGGACGTAATGAACGTCCTGCAGCTTTAGCTCACACACCTTGATGAGCCATTTGCAGCAGCAGAGTTAGAGAGGAGCCCATTGTTCAAAGAAACATGTCTCATGATCCGCATATGAAAAAACAGCCGACTGCATAATCTCTACAGGATCAAAGCCGATGTGGTTTAAATACTATGAAATAAAAAGTATGGAAAGTCACTTTACCTAAATGAAAGGGATTCATTATAAATGCAAACAAGTCATTTTAACTTCCAGTAATGATTAAAACTTAGCAAAGAGTGGTTATATTGAATCTGCCCTGATGAATGCATATTCAAAACATCAACATAGTACATCAGAAATCAAACAGCTGCTGAGTTTAAGTAAGTTTTGAATGGGCAAAAATAACTTTTAGACTTATAATCAAAACACAAACCTATCAAGGTTCTCCATGAAGGTGAGCCTACCTTCAGTTATTACATCAAGGCGCTTATATGAGTCAGCTATTTCAAAATGAGTCCCTTGTAGAGTTGTAATTGTTTAGGAGTTGTTGGTGATAATTTATCACAATTAGAACAATAAGGATCACTTACTCTACATTAGTCTCTGTGTATTCCCTGGTGAACATGCATCTTAAGTTAGCCATTTTCTTAAACCATCATACATCACATCAGATAGAATTAGACACCCCTAAAGCATAAAACAAATACACTTTGCTGCAGTACTTTTTTCCCTCTAATTAAAATGAACCAGAAGTCTGAAAGAACAAAGTCTCTTGTTTGAAAGCTGCCTACAATAAACCTCAACTTAGTTAAGTGTATTTATAATGCACTTATTCACAAAAAAATTAGTTCAGTTTTGCAACAGGTGAAATGGTTTCTGACTGAGGAAGCAGCAATCCCTCGTACCAAGCGAGGATAGGGGACAGCCTTGCTTCTTCTTACAGTAGTTTCTTTATTTTAAACAAAACTAGCTTGGATCCTTCTTAATTCTCTAATAACTTCCAAACAGGTGAGTGCAGAAAAGTTCCTATTACTTATGGTGCATTCACTGATCCTTTTAGCTGAATCCAGAAAGCTCTTTTTCATGCAAGTTGGAAGCTTTTAATCAATGTGTCATCTCTCTTATTTTTTTCTGCTCTGATGAAGACAGGCTTACAGAATGCGAGGTACAAAACCTCTGCTGTTCAAGTCTGTGAGCAGGACAGTGGCCTTGTATGGGAACCTCTCTAACATCCCCTAATGGGCTCTACACTTGCAGCATGAGAGATAAAGGCTCTTTTATAATATTTCTCTGTCATCTCTTCTACTGCTCTGAGACCGAAAATGTCCTGAAAAGGCAGCAGAAAACGTATGCTGCAAGAAAGCAACACAGCACATAAACTGCAGATTATAATTTATAATTTATAGACTTGCTAAAGGAGATTACTTGGTACAGCCAAGAATAGCTAGGAAGAAAAAAAATACATCAGCAATCTTTACTAAACCTCCAAACACATAAAAGACATACACTGCAAAGAATCTTATGCTGAATTCACATTTTTCTTATTTCTGTTTTAACCAACCTTCTCCAGCTTTTCAAAATGCTCCCGCAGGAACTTCATAGGCCGCTCAGGCTTGGCAATGCAGAGGTTCACGATGCACTCTTTGAGGATCTGCTGGATGTTGTGCTTCTGCACAAAGATCTCACACCCCTTCAAGCTCTCGTCTTCTTCCAGAGCCGAGGAGGAGGTGGCCATCGTCTCGTTTAGCTCTGTGGCAGTGGGATACAAACAGGGTGGATCATGAGAGGAGGGGAGGGAAAGCAGAACAAAGAGGGGGGGGGACCTGTGTAGCCGGACTAGGAGAAGCAGAGAGTGAGGGGGGGTTTCTGGGTGATTTGATAGATAATAACGTTGATTCTATAACTCAACTTTAAGGCCCCATGTTAAAAAAAGGATTTATAAATTATCGGATTTGCCAATTACACAATGACAATATGTGTATTACCTATGCAGCTGATCCAGAACGCTGCTGCCAGAGTCCTCACTAAAATTGAGAAAGTGGAGCACATCATCGCAATTCTAAAGTCATTCCACTGGTCTCCCATATCTCAGGGAAAAAAACTCTTAACTACTTCTGTTAGTCTATAAATCAATAAATATCTTAGCACCAAAGGCATTACTGACATTAATGAGTACATTACTGAGTATCAACAACCCAGACCTCTAAAGTATTTGGCTCAAATCTACTTTGCAGACACAGAAACATAAACCAAAAATTGGAGGAGAAGATTTTACATCTTATGCTCCACCAAGCTGGAATAAACTCCCAGAAAAATATAAAAGCCCTGAATCCCTAAGTTGTTTTAAATCAAGATTTTTGCTTAGAATGGCCTGTGATTGTGCTTAACATAATCAATAAAGTTTTCAGTCCAACCTTTCTTTCAGTTTTGAATGAATCATTTTACCTTTTTTAATTTAATAATCTAATTCTAGTTATTAATTTTCATTCTCAAACCACCACTGCATTCTTTTTTTGTTCTCATGTACAACCCTTTGAATTGTTTGATACTAAAATGTGCTATATAAATATACTTGCCTTGCTTTTGCAGCTTGGCAATTATATGTAATTAGCTGCACGTAGGACGCATATGTGAAATTTGAACCGCACAAATACTTCTAACAGAGCTCAGGCTTATAAATAAGGAATAATTGGTTTGTCCAATCCGAGTAGGTCCTGTTAAAAGAATGGCTTACAGTAGTGAGCCTAGTCCCAGTCAGTATCAATACAGACAAGGCAAGTCTATATGGGGCCCACATGCACACTTTAGCTGGAAACGTTGTGTAAACTGTGCATAAAAACAAAATGCAAGAACTTCCAATGGGCGATAGAGGCAGAGAACAAAAAAGATGGTCTCCCTAAACAATATTTCTGAATTACAAAGAAGCGTACACTTGTGCGTCGTCAGCACATGATGGCTTTTAAATATCTGGGTTGTTTCTGCAAGATAAATTCAAACTGCACTGTACAGACATTACAGAAGCATGGCTCTATAATTTTCAGTGAATAAGGTTTTAATAGGAATAGGTGGAGTGCAACTTTTCTACTTCTGTTATTTGCTGTTGTTTCTCAAAAAAATGCATAATGATATTACAGCTTTCATTGATTTATTTCAAATTTGAAACATTGTCTAGCCTGTAAGGTGTTAAAAAAAAAAAATGAACCAATTAATCGAATCAAATCGAATTGTATAGTGGTGTATTCTTGAGTATCGAAAATAATCGAATCGTTGGGTCAGGAAATCGATACTGAATCGAATCTCCATCATGGGTGTGATTTACACCCCTAGTAACAGCTTAGGTAAAGGGGAAGCTGGAGACTAAAGCCCCATGTATACTACCCTCGGAAAACCAATCCGTGCCGATCTTGGATCAGTTAACCATGCTGAGCTTGGTTCCTTATGACCATTTGCACACCACACTAGCATGGTTCCTCGCCTCCTAGTGACGATCTACGGTACTACTGCTCTCTACAGGTAAACAAGCAAATCAACATGGTGGCGCCCATAACATTCAGGAAGTTTGCTGAGAGTCAGGCGAAGAAGGCAGACTTTAATGAATTTACTTGACAGAGTCGGTTTTTGGGAAGTGGATACGACAAACGATAGTCTAATCAGGGCTTACAGACGCAGGAAACAATAACAGGAGTAGAGGTTCATCACACTGCTAAGCAGAATCATCACTGGAAATCATGTGGTACGGTAGGTAAGCTAGTATTTTTATGAATGTCTGAAATTTCATGATTACGGAGGCTGACTGTAAGGAGAGGACGCGGTCTGCTCATGCTTTCTTTGTTATCTGAGAACTGAGCTAAAAGTGAACCGTACCGAGCCCTGCTGATGAACTAGTATCAGTATAGCGCTGTGCAGTTGTGTCTGGCACAGTCTGGTTCAGTCTTGCCTTCCATTTACACTCAACAGTAATCTTGGTTACCATGCTCGGACCGATCTCAGCACATTTTCAAAAGGGTAGCGTAAATGGGGCTTTTGGGAGGGTGAGTGCTCAACACAGAGGAAACTGAACTTAATACTTTCCCATTAGTACCTTCTTTATTCTGATCAGGTTGAGTTAGTTTAATTAAGGCTTGATTCATTTTCCATGATAATGGAGCAGTATCTCCCTGGGGGTGGGACCTTTAATTGAAAGGGCGACAGTGGCGTTGGATGTAGGAGTTTGCCCTAAAATCGAAGGACTGACGGTTCAAGCCCCAGCTCCTACTTTCAGTGTCCTTGTGCAAGACACTTCACCTGCATTGTCTACTGATGGTGGTCAGAGGGCCCGGTGGCGCCAGTGTACAGCTGCCCCGCTTCTGTCAGTGAGCCCCAGGGCAGCTGTGGCTAGAATTTAGCTTGCCACTATCAGTGTGTGAGTGTGTGTGTGTGTGTGTGTGTGAATGAGTGAATGACTGAATGTAGTGTAAAGTGCTTTGGTCAAGTCTCCTGACTTAAAAAGTACTATATAAGTACAGGCCATTTACCATTGGTGGCCTTATGGTTAGAAATGATGTGTTATGGAGACACCCAACAAGACAACAGGCTACCCTACTGCTCTGTTCATGGATGTTGTCAGAGTAAAAGAGGGGAGCTAAAGAAATCTGCGGGTAGCTACAGTAGAAGCACTGACGATATGTACAGGAGGGAGAGAGAGAAACCTTATAATATCAAATAGAAGGATTTGAGCTGGAGCACATAAAGGTAAGTTAACATTAATTAAAAATGATAATAATAATAATGCTAAATAATGCAAGGTTGCTATAATAGTGCTCATACACAATAAAACAAACTTAAAATGATTTTAACAATTGAATATAATAGTCATAACAATATATTAAGACTATTGAACCTCCCTCGACCAATCAGTGGCCAGCCACTTTTAACATTTCAGCGCCACTCCAAAGGGATGAAATCAGAAGCAAGCAGGCACTAAATAGTGACTGTGCTCTGAGGTGGTACTAGTGGGAAAGGGGAGATAAGATACAGTGAGAATTTAACCAAGGACAAAAGAGAAGAGTTAACACAGAATACAGGGAAAAATATTAGAAAAATCAGAAAGAAACTAACTAAGTAAAAAAAAACAATAGAGCAACACCCAGAGAACATAAACAACAGGAAAATTATAAAAACACAAACATTAAAGGAACCCCAAATCCAAAACAGTTGAGGAAGTGTTGACAAGTGTTGATTAAAAATACAAAATATAAAGTTAAAATTGTAATAACCAATATTCTGTACCATACTGACTACAGTAGGATTATTTTTTATTTCAATTAAACTCGTTATATTGGTTTGTGCCCTAATGAACTTTTGTTTCATAATCCCTTTAAATAAAACACAACTCAATGTCCTACTGCATTTTGCACCATATTTATTTACTTTTTTATTTATTTCTCATTAAACTGAACCTTTCCATATCAATGCCTTTTGCACCATGACTTTAAATTGGTTTTCCTTTTCTCCTAAATGGTCTGCATTCATGATCACTGCTGCACTTTGTAAAAATGGAAATGTTCATTTAGACAAAAAAGTTTGTCAAAATCTAAGTTTAATGCAGTAAAAGTGGCAATATTTTACTCAAGGTTTACCAGAGAGGGCAAATACCATACTTGGCCATGCCTCAAAGTCATAAATGACTGTTTTCTGTTTTACCTTAATGTTAGAAGGCCAATTAAATAATAATAAAATAAATGGCAATTGGATATTTTTAAGGATGCAGAACAGGGGAAAGGTTCAGGCTGCAAATAGGTTACATCAAGCAACACATTAAAGCTGAATTATCTTGACAATCCAGGAAGAGCAGCACAGATAACCACCTTGTCTCACTTCCTGAAACAAATCACGTTTCCAGAACAGTGATTGTTGCATTATGCATCATTTTGGTGATGACATTTTTACAGCGCCATTCTTTTTTCCTCCTAAATGCATTGCGAAGCAGTATTAAAGAATAATGGCAGCAAACGGTGTCGCCTGTGTGGAGAGAGTGAACACCTGTTCAGTCGCATTTAAAAAGAAGCTAACGCAGTTAGCACAGCTAACCTTACAGTGAGCCCCAAACCTCAATGAAAAGGAAACTACTGCAACTAACCGACGTGATAAAAGCAAACTAGCGACCCAGTTTCGGTGTTAACGGGTATTTCTACATGCGGGGGTCTGTAGCAGCTGTCATAGGGGGGGTCCTACCGTTTGTTTGTGAAGGATGCTCTGTAAGGAAACACCTCAGTGGGCTGTCAGACTGGTGAGGTACCGCTGTTTAGCAGGGATGCTGCTGCTGCTGCTGCTGCTGTAGCTCTCTCTCTCTCTCTTCCTTTCTCTCCTGTCCGCTCGCTCTGCGTCAGTCTCCATGACGTCAGTCTGTCGTCCTCTTGAGCACAGCGGCAGAGGGCACGCGGGAACGCACCAGCCCAAACAATGGGAAACTTCAAAGCATGAATATAGTCTATAGTTTCATTATATTCGATTTGACCCATTTTAAATTCTGTAATTAATACAAAGGCTCATTACCTCCTATTTAGTTAGCAGGGGCGGAGCTAGATGGGGGGCCAGGGGTGTCCATGGCCACCCTTACCCAATCATTGGACACCCCAATGTTTTATTGTTAAAATAAAGTTTTAACAGCCTTTTTGTTATTGGAAAAGGACAACGTAGAAAAAGAAATTGTTGCTTCCTTTACAAAAAGAGATACATGAGGGTTTAGTCATAATATTTTTACATTTGTGGATTTAAAACTTGGCAAACAGAAGCAAAACCTCTGGCGTTAATACGAACTGGGTTTGTAAATGTCAATAAAGTTTTGGGGTTTGAATACACAGGTATCGTAAAGCAGCCGTTTGTTTGTCGTGAAGCCACCAGTTGTCATGGCGACTGTCAAAA